GCACATAGGCCTACAGCGGGCACATAGGCCTACTGCGTGCACATAGGCCTACAGCGGGCACATAGGCCTACTGCGTGCACATAGGCCTACAGCGGGCACATAGGCCTACTGCGTGCACATAGGCCTACAGCGGGCACATAGGCCTACTGCGTGCACATAGGCCTACAGCGGGCAACGCAATGTTCATATGTGATTAACAATACAACGCTGTTTAGTGCGGCACATTTTATGGATTGACGACATGTTTAGAAATGTACCTTGGAAGGCGGTCCAAACTTGAAAGGCCTTGTTGGAAAATTGCAATCAGAACTATGGTGATATATTTGTTTTGCAATCATGTTAGTATTGAAGTGATGTTAGTTTTGCAGCCATGTTAGTGTTACAGTCATGCTAGTAGTGCAGTCATTTTAATGTTGCAGTCATTTGCTTGTTCAAGGGTGGAACCTTGGACAAAATAAGTTTTGTTTTATGTATTTATGTATTTTGTTTTTGAACAGCCCCATTTCTTTGGCCGATGTTATGATGAACGGGACTGGCTTTACGATCTTATGTAAAAGAAAGGATGTAATTAGGAGAAGGAAGAGAGGGTATTGGGGGGGGGGAGGGAGGGGTGTGCGGTTGACATCGGGTGGCACTTTTTTTCCGGAAGTGGCATTTTCAGTCCACTTGATAAAGCGCCCCGGGCGTCAGTAACTCCATATCTACTCCACGTAATGTATGTTCATTAATTAGAAAGTCACCATTTAATTTACTCATCACAATTCTCTTTAGAACCCACGCCGCCGTGGCAAGCGAATGTTGTGTCGGGGCAAACCCTGAATTTAGGCGCCCCCCCCTCTCTCATAACGTATCTACTGATGCACGGGTTTTGTCTTAAGATTGCGACCTTGGCGTCTCCTGAAAGTGGCCCCCCGGGACTGGCGTCACATTTTGCACGGCTCTGTTTAGGTCAGCCGTGCTGGGCAGGTCAACGGGGAAGATGTGCGCGTCAGGTGTGCGCGTCAGGTGTAGGGATCAGGTGTAGGGGTCAGGTGTAGGGGTCACGTGTAGGGGTCAGGTGTAGGGGTCACGTGTAGGGGTCAGGTGTAGGGGTCAGGTGTAGGGGTCAGGTGTAGGGGTCAGGTGTAGGGGTCAGGTGTAGGGGTCAGGTGTGCGGGTCACGTGTAGGGGTCAGGTGTAGGGGTCAGGTGTAGGGGTCAGGTGTAGGGGTCAGGTGTAGGGGTCAGGTGTAGGGGTCAGGTGTAGGGGTCAGGTGTGCGGGTCAGGTGTGCGGGTCAGGTGTAGGGGTCAGGTGTGCGGGTCAGGTGTAGGGTCATCTTATTCGTTTTGTTATCAAATGAATTGAGCTTTTCAGCCGAGGACCCCCCCCACCCCACCCAAAACCCACTCTCATAACTTCTACAATTAGTCAATCGTTACGTAATGTCTCCCTTGTTGAAGGCCCTGTTATCTATGATGGTTCGGTCGGTGTAAGTATAAGTATAAGTGTAAGTGTAAGTGTAATCCAAACGTGCTCTTAATTCTAGCAGCACAAATTGATACAGCGTCTGCCATTGTATAATTTAAGTGTGTACTAAATCCTATAGGATTATCCTAAGACGGAAATACATTGTTTTCAACCCTTATTAATTTAATCGCTTGGATTTCCAGTAACCCCAAACCAAACACTGTTTTTTTTTTGTTTGTTTGTTGTTTTTTGTTTTTTGTTTTTTTTTGTCCATGCTCGCTCTCCTCCCAACTGTTACACTTGTTTTCATTTCATAGCGAGTCAGCCATCGAACCGGAGGGTGACAGACGCTGAGTCAGAATTTGATCTAACCACCGTTTACATGTTACTCCGTGCTGGCGAGCCACGTGCCGGGATCTTACAGGATAAATATATAGTTTATGACTGAAGGTCTTTATTCAAGGTGTCATCTACTTCTGATGGGATGATGTCGTGATTTATGTGTGTGTGTGTGTGTGTGTGTCGCACATTGGGTTCATCATTGAATGTGCATCTTTAAGTTTCATGCAAGCCGTGGATTGAACTTACCTCAACGGTTTGTCACAATTGTGTGTGGGTTTGAAGACAGTGAGATGGGGATAAAGGTATTCAGTACAAATGTATGCTCAATCTTGCCAAGAATAAAGGACTGTGTTATTGTTTGATGTGTCCTCTCTGTTTTTTCCATGTGCTAGCATTATATAATTAGTGCATTAACTTTAATCTTAGGGTTTTATTATTGTTCATGATTCATTGTAAGATAGATTAATCGATTATGCTATTGGTAAGCTCCGTCGATTTAAAAAAAAAAAAAGAGGTTTAGGCGGAGTTGGGTTGGGGGAGGGGGGGGGAATACCAAATCACTCACGCATCATAGCGGGGAAAGACTTGCTGTTGTTTAAATGTTGTTTTAAAATCTTGTAGATTTAAAAAAAAAAGAAAGAAAGAAAGACTTCAACTTTAAACGTCAACTGCCGTCAAACAGGAAATAAATTCACGAGTGTGGCGCCGGGTCCCCCTTAACTCCAAACAATAATGCGGTGGGATAGTGACCCACCTGCTCAGGGATCTGATTGATTGACATCATTGACCTGCAGGAGGCCGAGCCTGGTGGGTTGAACATTGTGACCAACGTTATTCACCTAAATAGCACGGTGTGCTCTACACATCTAATCTATTGATTCATGGCTGTGTGTCTGGATGTGTCCTTGTTATTGTTGTATAAGTACCCGTGTGTTAGACCAGGTTGCCTGACCGTATGTTTGTATTTGTAAGAAGGAGTGCTGTGTAAAATTATCCATTATCTCTTTGATCAGACCGCCTGACTGCGTGTCGCCGTATGTTGCGTTATCCATTATCTCTTTGATCAGACCGCCTGACTGCGTGTCGCCGTATGTTGCGTTATCCATTATCTCTTTGATCAGACCGCCTGACTGCGTGTCGCCGTATGTTGCGTTATCCATTATCTCTTTGATCAGACCGCCTGACTGCGTGTCGCCGTATGTTGCGCGTGTCGCCGTATGTTGCGTTATCCATTATCTCTTTGATCAGACCGCCTGACTGCGTGTCGCCGTATGTTGCGTTATCCATTATCTCTTTGATCAGACCGCCTGACTGCGTGTCGCCGTATGTTGCGCATGACTCAGTTTATTGAGTAAAACTTAGGTGTTGTTTTTTTTAATAACCTGTTTATGACTAAACGGCTTACGTTGAATCAATTAACATCTCTTCATCGGTTCTCTTGTCAACTACTGGACATCCACTACCCTGCATCCACTTGCACTCGAATGATAAATTTAAAACAAAAACTAAATGTGTTCAAGAAATTCCTTTCTTGTTCAATGAACAAAATTACGCAAAATGTTTAAACTAAAAATGTTTGAGTGCAAAAATACATATTAAAATATTCTTATTCTTCTTAACATGCGTCATTCCACACACACAAAAAAAAGAGAAAAAAGCAAGAGTCAGTTCAAGAGATCTAATGCCCCTTGTATGTTCGTTATGACCCTTGTATGTGCGTTATGCCCCTTGTATGTGGTTTGTCCTACTCTTTACGTCTAACTGCACTTCTTCCAATTCCTAAAACTTTTTCTGATTGTTTCATCAAAGCGTTTCCATGGTGGACCATGGTTTACTTCCTTGATTCCAGGAGAGAACAACGCATTATTATGTCTGTGTGTCTTTTTATTATGTCTGTGTGTCTTTTGATTGCTCATTTAATGGCGTGTAATTTCTATTTCCTAACATATTTATTTGCTGTCGATAAATCACCGCAGTCAATTCATATTTAGTTCTCCGTTGTTAGAGCTCTGTGTCCGTTTCTGTAACCCTACTTCCAGCTACAAAATGAAATCTCTAAAGTTGGTTGTTGTTGTTTTGTTTTTTTTTACTGTGATCTGATACTTGTTATGCTTCTCTTCGTCTTGTCTTCTGATGAAGGCTCCAAGCCGAAACGTCCAAATCTTTTGTCCTGTCCATGAATTCAAGTCTAGCAGACCTTGTTATTATATTTCGTTTACACAACTTTAATCTAGTCCATCAATTATTATGTGTTTCACAACCATTTACTGAAGTAGTGGCGCATCATATTTAGTGTACGGTTTTTTGTTAATGTTATGTTTCTAGACATCTCTATTCTATCATTGTATTGTGACGAACGCCCCTCTAGTTTGCTACATCGCGGCATTGATACCCGCATCGTTGAAATAGTTCAGCATATTAAATTAGCTCTCTTCATTAGACAGAAGTCCCCTGTCACAAGGCGGTGAGTTGCCATATTAAATACTTAGGAGTCGTCACGTTTACAGAAGACTCCTACAATACATTGAATCTTCTGACATAAGTCTTCAGCTGCTTAAGCTTTGAAATTCAACTAGAAATTCTTTGCACTATGATAAAAAAAAAAACTAAACTTTTACATTCAACGTTTCACCAATATAATGTGTTGAAAACATTTTTTGCAGATTTAAATTGACATCTTTTCTTTGATATCAATCTCAGGCTCCCACTCCGCAAAAAGAGAGCGGACCAACAACCCAACAGCTGAGTGAGCCACTGTTTACATAGGAGATCATCTCCTCACCAACTAAAATGGCCAAAGACATTTCCAAAAGGAGGCAAGTCAGCCATTTTCAGACCATTCGAGAAGATCCGGGTCACGAGATCAGTAAGAAACCCAACAAAAATGAAGACTCCCATTACGCAGCGGCGAGTCAAAAAGAGGCTTACGTTACCGTTAGTGGTGGCTCGGGCCCCGCGCGCGCCCCCGTTCACGCGGAAGCCAAATATGGGGCGCACAGATCGGTTGTGGTGAAGAAATGCCAGACCGCCAAGGTGGAGGCAAGTCCTCCCGCGAAAACATGTGGAGCTCCTGCTCAGGTGCATCCTGGTCTACGTCACGTGGCTGTTCATTCTAAGAACGTGAACCCGACCAGGGCTCCAACCAAAACTAGATCAGGGGTCAAGGATGGAGCCAAATTAGACGTTCACGCGCTCAAGAAAACAGACCCAGCTAAACAAGTCATCCTAACAAGAGAAGATCACGTGACGGATGCTGCCCACGTGAACCCGGCCTTTGAAGATGATGATGGCTTCCAAGGCATGAGTTTAGGCCGAGAGGATTTTACGCATAAATCGAGTCTGACTTGGGGCGAACACTCTGTGAGAGATACAGTTCCCCAGGGGCAGATGATATCAGCCTTGCAGACGCCGAGAGACGTGAAGGTGAAAAACTCCCCCGAGCATGCACACCAAAAGTACAAGGACCCAGCCGCGGAGCTCAGCGAGATCGTCCGCTACAAAGATATCAACTACGGTGCGTGCTACACAGTTCAACACATACAGCCCAGTTCAGAATTTGGAATGGTCGACGTCAGAGTTCAGAACGCGGACACTGATCCCTCACTGGGACAACTCCCCGGATTACAGCAACACATTTTAAAGGACTCCTCGAACAACAAGCTGCGGAAGCTGCATAATGGTGAGCGGCTTGAGTTGGAGATTCGGGATAACTTCAATCCAGATCAAGCGACGTTTGAAGCAAAGCCCCGCGAACACGACACGGCTTCCACAAGGACGCCGCGTCACATCCAGTTTTTAGAAGAAAACAGATTCACCCAGCCCGTCAAACTGCGACAGCTGCCAACCGTCCGGAGTAAAGGCGGCTCCGAAGAAGACCGGCCGAGTCGGCCTCACAGTCGAAGTTTATCGTTGACGCCGTATTTCGATCCGGAGGGCGAGTTCAGAAAGGCGCTTCAGGCGTCCTCGCAGTCCGTTGGAAGATCTCAGTCCATGAGGGTGTCGTCCACGTCAGAGTTGAACAAAGACAAGCCCAAGAAGCTGCTTCGCGAGCTGAGCTTTTCCGATGCGGACGCAACCGCTGGGAGAAACTATGGCGCCCTGAGAGGGAGGCATGCGATACCTAGGAGGCAGTGCAGGAAGGATTCATCCAGCGAGGATGATGTGATCAAAGAAGGTTGGTCTGATATTTAAAATGGGTAAATGTATGAGACGATTGTCAAGGTATATGACATCAAACTGATACTATGAAATACTTCAATTTTAAGTTAAGTATTTTTCTAAAAATATTATTGATCAAAAGAAATGGAAATGTGTTTTGATTACTTTGTACATATTCAAAAATAAATCATTTTTTAAAATTAATTTTAAAAAAAAAATTAATGAATCAGAATGGAAAAAAAACAACAGAACAATTCATTTATAGCTGATGGATAAACATTCTGATTGAGAGTAAACTTTTTTTTTCCACTAGAAAGATTTACATTACGATTTATTTAAAAAAAGAAAAGAACAAAAGAAACTAAGTCCTTTGGAGGATTTAAATTAAAGTAACAACATCATCAAAATTGGTGGAGTTTACACAGTAGGCAGTAGAAATTAGGAAGTAGGAAGAAGGCAGTAGAAATTAGGCAGTAGGAAGAAGGAAGTAGGAAGTAGGCAGTAGAAATTAGGCAGTAGGAAGTAGGCAGTAGAAATTAGGCAGTAGGAAGTAGGCAGTAGAAATTAGGCAGTAGGAAGTAGGCAGTAGAAATTAGGCAGTAGGAAGTAGGCAGTAGAAATTAGGCAGTAAGAAGTAGGCAGTAGGAAGCAGGAAGTATAAATTAGGCAGTAGGAAGTAGGAAGTAGGCAGTAGGAAGTAGGCAGTAGGAAGTAGGCAATAGGAAGTAGGCAGTAGGAAGTAGGCAGTAGGAAGTAGGCAGTAGGAAGCAGGCAGTATAAATTAGGCAGTAAGAAGTAGGCAGTAGGAAGCAGGAAGTATAAATTAGGCAGTAGGAAGCAGGCAGTATAAATTAGGCAGTAGGACGTAGGCAGTATGAAGTAGGCAGTAGGAAGTGGGCGGTATAAACTAGGTAGTAAGAAATAGGCAGTAGGAAGTAGGCAGTAGGAAGTAGGCAGTAGGAAGTAGGCAGTATGAAGTAGGCAGTAGGAAGTAGGCAGTATGAAGTAGGCAGTAGAAAGAAGGAAGAAGGAAGTAGGCAGTAGGCAGGAGGCAGTCCGCGTTGGTGAGAAGGAGGAGCAAATAAAAAATTAAAAAAAGACAGCGGGAAGCATTAGAGCCAAACTCTTTTATTGAACAAAACAACAACAACAAAATACGAACGTTAAAGAGGAAGAAACACAATCAGATTGCTTAACTGGCTGATGACATTCTGATTTGGTTGAAATCTTTAAGTTTAAAGAAGAAAATGATAGGATTTGCGTTTGTGTGTGCGTGCGTGTGTGTCTGTGTGTGCGTGCTCCATATTAAATCGTTAAAATAAACGTGATTTCTTTGGTTTTATTAAAATGTTTAATACATTAAATTGAAAGAAATAACTGGGGGGGGGGGGACGACGACAAACAAACATTCACAAGACCAAGCCCCGTAACTCACAAGTTACCCATCGTGCTTAGGAGAAGAAAAGATTTTTGGAAGCCCTTTTTACTACCTAATGTTTTTGTGTGTGTAGAAACTGACCAATCAAATGATGCCACGGCAGACCTCAAAGTTCATCTCCTCAAACTCATGCAAGAGCTCCTGGTTCGTGGCAAGGTCCAGCAGGTTGCCATCTTGGAACAGGACAGCGGCAAGGTGCTGGTGTCCTTGCCGCCCTGGACGTTGTCTGACCAGGACTCCGTCGGTCTGGTCAAGGCCGTCTCGCACAGCCAAGAGATCATGCTGAAGCTGACCATCGGGCGCGAGGTGAGTTGGGTGGGTTGTTATCTGGAAACGCTCGTGGTCGTTCACGGAAGAGAATGTTCTCTTCTCTAAAGCTAGGTCCAGCGCGAGGGTGGAGTGTGCATGTGCGTGTGTGTGTGGGGGGGGTGGGGGTGGGGTCGGCAGTGAACAAGGCACGTGACATCCCCCCAAAAACACACTTAATAGGTTTACAAGAAAATAAAAGTATAACGACCTCCCTCCCCCCCCCACACACACACACACCCGCAAACACAGATATTGAGTCTAATGTCTGCAGCCATACGAATGTCTGCCTTGTGCATACATCTGTTAAAGTAACCGATTCAGTTATTAAAGGGGCCGTCCATAAGATACGTTACGCAAAGGAAAAGAATGTGGGGTGAGGTGGGGTCTAAGAAATTGTGACAGTTTGTGACACGGGCGGGATTCTGACAGAAGAGGGCGTCACTCATACAAATTTATAGTTTAATAGTCAAGTGTGTTGTAGTTTAAATTTTAATTAGTTTTTAATTTTTTTTTGTAAACATTTTTTAATTTCAAAAGTGTGGCATACTTTAAAAAGGTGGGGAAAAGGGGGGGGGGGTTGAGATTGGAGACATATTGGGATAGGGGGGGGGGGGGGGGAAAAATTGCCCAAAAAATAGCGTGACGTACTTTATGAACGGCCCCCTAGCGGGATTTCAAAAGATGAATTCTGACAGAAGAGGGCGTCACTCATACAAATTTATAGTTTAATAGTCAAGTGTGTTGTAGTTTAAATTTTAATTAGTTTTTAATTTTTTTTGTAAACATTTTTTAATTTCAAAAGTGTGGCATACTTTAAAAAGGTGGGGAAAAGGGGGGGGGGGTTGAGATTGGAGACATATTGTGATAGTGGGGAGGGAGGGGTAAAAATTGCCCAAAAAATAGCGTGACGTACTTTATGAACGGCCCCATAGCTGGATTTCAAATGGAAGATATTGGACGCCGTAGCCAATGAAACAAAACGTCCAACATGCACACGCTAAAGAGCTGCCCGCAACCCCACCTTTTCCGCTCGCTCAACTGATTTTTGGTGTGGGCGTGTTTTTTCATGCAAAAGGGGGAAATGGGAAAAGTTGTGGGGGAAAAAAAACGAAGGCTAATCCTATTTCCTGTCTTCTTTATAATATGATGACAAAGGCCTAAAATCAAAGTCTTCGTATCTTTTTATTTTCACCACAGATTTTCATTAAAAAATGTGTAAGTTTAATGAGAGTGTAGATACCAAATACATATGTTTAACATTTCAACCTCTCCCCCCCCCCCACCCCTGGGGGTCTAACCTCGCAGGTGTTCACGTGTTTCAAGCATGGCCGGAACAAAATGGTCGGACGTCACGGCGATAAGGTGTTGGTGGCCCAAGAGACGAACACGTGCGTCGTGGTTGGGTTGGCAGACGACGACACACCTGGCTCGTGTCTGTACGAAGTGACTGAGCTCTCGCACGCGCTGATGGACAAGGACTGGTGACGGGGGTGGTCAGGACGACATGTGGTGTTGATGGCTTATTATATGATCTATGGGTTACCCAGCAGAAGTTGTGTATTAATGGTTGTTATTATGGTTGGCTTGTTATAGTTTATGGGTCGCCTATTAGAGGTCATGTGACAGTGAATAGAAAGAAATAAACGTTATTACACAAATGAAACAACTGCTTTAAGTCTATGTAGCAATGAAACAACTGCTTTAAGTCTATGCAGCAATAAAACAACTGCTTTAAGTCTATGCAGCAATAAAACAACTGCTTTAAGTCTATGTAGCAATAAAACAACTGCTTTAAGTCTATGCAGCAATAAAACAACTGCTTTAAGTCTATGTAGCAATAAAATAACTGCTTTAAGTCTATGCAGCAATAAAACAACTGCTTTAAGTCTATGCAGCAATAAAACAACTGCTTTAAGTCTATGCAGCAATAAAACAACTGCTTTAAGTCTATGTAGCAATGAAACAACTGCTTTAAGTCTATGCAGCAATAAAACAACTGCTTTAAGTCTATGTAGCAATGAAACAACTGCTTTAAGTCTATGCAGCAATAAAACAACTGCTTTAAGTCTATGCAGCAATAAAACAACTGCTTTAAGTCTATGTAGCAATAAAACAACTGCTTTAAGTCTATG